CATATCATCAACCCCGTGTGTCTGTAAACAGTCATTTAGTCCAGAGGTAATTACACACCACCCACGAAACATGATACATATTACTGTTACTTCTTTATTATTGTTATTTTATAATAAACTGATGTCTATCACTTCCACAGAGTGTCATATCTTATGATACCAGGCCCAGGTGGTTAGGGAGCGCTCGACTCGCAATCTGTGGGTCGCGAGTTCGAATCTCCGTCCCACCAAACATGCTCGCCCTTTCAGCCGCGGGGGCGTTATAATGTGACGGTCAATCCCACTATTCGATCGTACAAGAGTAGCCCAAGAGTTGGCGGTGGGTGGTGAAGACTGGCTGCCTTCCCTTTAGTCTTACACGGCTAGCACAGATAGCCCTCGTGTAGCTTTGCGCGAAATCCATAACAAACAAACAAACAATTATGACACCAACGTCTATATTGTACAAATTGTTTTTGAGTCAGTTGTAAGTTTATGGACTTAAAACACTAAATCCGGGGCTCGATTCCTCGTGGTAGGCAGAGCACAGGTAGCCTGTTGTATAGCTTTGTGTTAATAAAACAAACATATATTTAAAATCATAAATAATATTCAACGTTAAACTGGTACACAATTATAAACATTTTATTTAGGCCTATCTATGGCTTTCAAAAAGTTGACGACTCTACACGTTTCGATAGATAGGCCTAAATAAAATGTTTTTAATTGTGTACCAGTTTTAATGTTGAATATTATTTATGATTTTAACTTTATACACAAGTGCCAAAATACTATATATTGTTGACAGGGTTCTGCCTCACAATGTTTGAGGCATACAAAGGTCATGTTTTAAACCGTTTAGTATTTTATGTTAAGTACTTCGAAACGATAATTTTAAGTTTGGAAAGTTTGCGTGATTACGTTGAATAACAATAAATATAGAAAAGTAAGATAAGACAAACGAAAACTGTTGGCAATTTAAGAAAGGGTCGTTTGCCCAATCAAACATAGACAGAAAGGGTTGTTGTTGTTTTTAGGTTTTATCTTATAAATGAATTGTATGTCTGTTTTTGAATATTGGTCGGCGCTAACGGTGGTAAAGTGTCTGTTTTGATTGGTCAAACACTTAACGCTATTATTTAATACACTATACTTTTCCCCAGACTTTGAAATTGGAGATAAAAAGTTGATAAAGCTTTAACCTGTTTTAGCAGGAGACTACTTACGTTATTTAATGCTCATCTGGCTAAAACTCTTTATGATAACGATCTGGGTCTGCCATTTTATATCCTTGAGTAGCCTACTATCCAGCTAAGTTGTCGTTAAGTTGCCGATAGAGGTCCATTGTCAACTTGTGATATTATTTTGTTGTTTTTGTAAACTAAAACATTATTTAACAGCTTTATTCACCGTAATTGAATATTTTGGAAATATAACAACAGTATGCGATTTATAAAGGTAAATAGATAAAAACGTCATTTTTAAAATGGATAAAATATTTCAGTTTATTCGATGTTCTACTTTCATCTTTAAAATTCAACTATTTAATTATGCTGGAAGGCTAGGTTCTCGTTTGTTTGTTTGAATTTCGCGCAAAGCTACACGAGGGCTATCTGCGCTAGCCGTCCCTAATTTAGCAGTGTAAGACTAGAGGGAAGGCAGCTAGTCATCACTACCCACCGCCAACTATTTTACCAACGAATAGTGGGATTCACCGTCACATTATAAGGCCCCCACAGCTGAAAGGGCGAGCATGTTTAGCGGGACGGGGATTCGAACCCGCGACACTAAGATTGCGAGTCAAGTGCCCCAACCACTTGGCCATGCCGGGCCGGCTAGGTTCTTGTGAACCAGTGATACGGGTATCCCTCTATTTACGAACGTTCGGTTTACGTTTTTTTTTTCTCTCTCGCCATAACGTAATTAATTTTTTTATGGGCATGTTTTTCGATTTGCGTTCGCATTTTTCGCTATAATGAAAATTTACGTACAAGTTTAAAGAAAATTTTGGCCGGTACGAAACAGTTTTCCACTATTACAAAATTCAAATAACTCAAAAGCTAGTTTTCTCTGTTATTAATATTGAAATACCTGTAGTTACTAAACTATTTTACACTACTACGTAAATCAAGTGTCCTCCGATGGAACAGCGGTAAGTTTACGGACTTACAACGCTAGAATCCGGGTTTCGATACTCGTGGTGGGCAGAGCACCGATAGCTTTGTGCTTACTTACAAACAAACCCTCGCTGGACACAGCAGATTGCCCGATGTATCACAGCGGCATGTCTGCAGACTAACAACGCTAGAAACCGTGCTTAACTTCAACAAGCGAAATGTAATTCAAATTTAGTAAGCGCTATGGAGAAAATTTCAAACAGCACGCCACCTGCTTCATTGAGCCGCGTCACGGAACCCGTCGCTGTAAGATCTCTCTACGTAAGCATCTCGTGCAAGGCCCGTCATGGCCAGGTGGATAAGGCGCTCGACTCACAATCTGAG